TAGTTGTCAAAATGCATGTGAACCCATCTCATTGCCTATAAAACTCAAGCCTCCTTTTCTCTAACAAACTGACTAATGTGTTACAGGTAGATTGACTCGTAGCTTAAAGCAGCAGACACTCCCCATAGAGCCAGTGGTCTGAATATATAATGTGAACATTTTGGCAACAGTATGCTGAAAGCATGAATAAGTGTATTTTATCAAAAAATATTGGGCCTCAGGTATGGTGTCACATCTCTGTAATCCCAGCACTTGGGGTAGGAGGCTGAGGCAAGAAGACAAGTTTAACCAGAGCCTCAACTACATGAGATTTTTGTCTCAAATTTAGAAATAATTCCAAATGATTTGGGTTGCAAAACTCCAAAGACATCCAGACGATTGAATATCACTGGCCAGCAAGAGTCAGGCCGTTGCACATCGAGATTTGTCAGCACTGTGTCTGCAAAAAGCTAGCACGGGAGTAGACTGGATGCTGAGTCCTACCAATCTAGCACTGAGCAACGTTCATCCAGAGAAACATGAAAGGATCCTCATGAACTTAATCCGGTAGTACATTTCCAATCAACTTTAATAATTATTTTAATAATGTAATCATAGATTAATAATTAATTAATTACTTAAGGTACTTTTTTTGCTGTTTATATACGCTTGTGGGAAAAAAGTAAGATAGCAAATCAATAAAAGACATTCAAACAAATTGTATGAGTGGAAAAGAAATGAACATATATGGAAAAAAAACTTGGGATTTCCAGCTGTCAATCATTTGTGTATTTTTACTTTTCCTTCCTTTTTCTCTCTCTTTTTTTTCTGTTGGTGTATTTTTTAAGGATGACAGTATATTTTATATTATTATTTTGCTTTCATTGTATTTATTTAAAATATGATGCCACATTTACAATTCATAAAAAGCCATCTTTACAGTGTAAAGAGGTATGCCATGCCTCACTGTACTTTTAGGATTCTGTGGAGAAGGATCTAGAGACCATTACTGTAATAAATTAAGTTTAATTTTAGTGAGGTGTTTTTTGACTTACCCAAATTTAAAGTTTTTACATGGTTAATTCTTGCAATTTTCTCTGTATGTACTTTTATCACCTTGGAGCTTAAACAGTCCTTCTTCATTCAATTTTATTTTTCCCAGAGTTTAACAGCACCTGTGGGTGTATCAGCACAGAGCCATCCCCCATGTCCCTCAGAAATACCTATTTTCTAGTAACATCAGTACTTTTGGCCTCTGGTGACCTCAAGAATACCAGTTTCTGACCCTGGCTCTCTCCACATGGTCTGTGAACCTTTGTGCTCTCATCCCTTTATCAATCAAGTGATCACTATGACAAAATACCTGAAACAACTGACTTGTAAAGGGAAAAGACTGATTTACCTCATACTTCTGGATGTTTCCGGTCCAGGGCTGGGTGGCCCAGTTCATTCCAGAGCACCACTCCCAAAGACCTAAGAGCCTCCCGCTAGGCCCCACCTCTTAAAGGTTCTACCAGCACCACCCTGAAAACTGAACCCTCCACACAGGGACCTTTGGAGGACATTCTTCATCCACACTGCTGTGATTCCCTAGGACAGTGTTGTTACCACACACGCCCTTGCATATTTTCAGTTCACATTTTCAATGTATGATTTTCAATCATACATTGAAGGAGTTTCCAAAATTGTAACTTTCGGCATATGTTGACATTCTAAAAGTTGCATGCTTTTTCAAATGCACTCAACTGAATCTAAACAGCCTAAGAACTGGATGCTCACCATCCTCCACATTTAAAAATGTGCAATCAACTCTTTGTTAGCTTACTTTTACATTGTTTTGTTTTTTTTTTCATTCAACTCATATTTTATTCCCTCCTCACAGAATTTTATCATGCCAAGTTTTATGCTTAAAAATCTTGCTGGTGGTCGTGGCACACACATGTAATCCCAGCACTCAGGAGGTTGAGGCAAGAGGATCACCATGAATTCAAGGCCAGCCTGGGGTACACAGTGAGTTCAAGACCAGTCTTAACTATATATAGCAAGACCCTGTCTCAAAAACCTCCCAAGTAAAATAAAAATAGAAATTTGGGGTGAAACATATGATCAGATTTTCTGCAACAAAAAATAAGTATAGCAACTTAAAATTTTAACTTTTAAACATGCCTCTAAATGGTAAGTGATATCTTCCCAATTATTAATAACATTCTATTAAAACAAAATGACCACAGTATGGCTTTTTATTAATAATTATGAAATACACATATTTTAGAAACACTTATTGTGAGATGAGTGGTAGTGAGATTGTTTTCAAATTATTTCACATACCCAGGAATGAACATTATTATCAGTAGTATAAATAGGATTCAGAACTGATTATATTCCTAGCCTTTTTATATGTAAAAGTGTTATGGTTTAGATGTAAAATGGCCTGCAAAGCCATTTGGAAGTTTGCAAGGTGTTATGGCTTGTGTCTAGATATCCCCCAAAACCTCATGCACTTATGGATGGGGCTATTTCAAATGTGACTAAATGTAGAGTGTGTGACGCTGGGATTGATGCATGATACACTGCTAGGATCAAGGGCACAGGATTAAGGATGTGAGTGCTACCCACCCTAAGTAAACTGAATAAGTATAAGGGACATAAAGGGCTGTGGTTGTCCCCTCACTTTGCTGCCTTCTGTCCACCATGAACTGTTTCTCCTCTGCCACACCACCCTGCCTTGGAGCCAGTGGATTACAGACTGAAACCTCTACAAACTGTGAGCTTAATAAACCTTTCCTCTTTGACTTTGGGTGTTGGGTATTGTCTATTGGCAGTGAGAAAAGTAACTAAGACAGAATTTGTAGTTGTATAACAAAAGGTAAAACAAACCAGAAAATTATATGCAGTAAATATGCCCTCAATACGTTAATTTTACCCTCACGGATAAAATTTTAAAAGGGTTGGGGGGAACAGAGAGATAGAAGAGGAAATGATTAGAAACAAGGCTAGAAGACAAAGGAATATTATGCAAACTCTGGAAGACTGATGAAGACAGAAGAAAAATAGAAAAGAAAGTTATTAAAACAAGAACAGAACAACAACTACAAAAAAAAATCTAGAAGTATTCATACATATAAAAACAAGAATAAAAAATCAAGAACCAAAACAAAATAAAACAAAAACAAGAAAAGAGGAGAAATAAGAAAAAATGTCCACTTCAAGGCTGGCACAAGTAGACAAGTTGGGCAGATAGAGCCCAGATCTGTGTTGCTTAATCCAGCAAGCCAGCTGTAGATTTATGGCATGATAGTGGATAATCTCAGTAAGTCTGCACCTTTAGTTCTGAACAGGATGGTTTCTGGCTATGAGGTTGGAAACCCATTTGTTCAGTCTGCAACACTCCCTATGTCTCCTGCCAACTTGACTCGGTTCCCTGCCAGTGTGAACTTGGCTCTTTGACCTCCTGTGGACTTGAACTTGGTTCCACTCCTGATGGAGTCAGCCTGAAGCTGCTCTAAATCTGAGCTTAGTTGGTCCCTCTCCAAGATGGCTACCAGTCAATTGCCCTCTCCTGTGGGGTGTCTGAATCCAAATACCTCACCAGCCACTGCATCCATTGTGTGCACTGCTCTGTTCCACTGGTGCATTTCTCTGTGGAGGCCTCTGGGGGAAGCTAGTAGTCACCATGTGTCTGCAGGTTCGAGCTGCCTCTCCAAGCAGTAAGTCAGGGCTCAGGAAAAAAGTGCTGCTTGCCACCTCTTTCTTCTGTGTTGAGGTTTCTCTTTTCATTCGCCCTGTGGGCTTCAGTTCTCTCTTAAGATCTTTGCTGGACCCTAGGGACTCACTTTCCTCCTTCTTCTCCTCTTCATGTTGCTATATTCCAGCATCTGGACATCAAATCTTGGAGAAGCAATTTCTCTGCTGCTCACTACCCTGCCATCTTCTCAAACTCCAAAGACAGAATTTAGTACTGGAGCAGTGGAGTCATTGCTGTGATATTACCTGGACGTGTGATTTGGAATGTTGGAACTGGTTTGGAGGAAGAGGAAGAGTTAGGAAAAGTTTGGAGATGTCTGCTAAAAAAGTAGAGCTAGAACACCTTAGGTGACACCTGATGGGAGATTCTGGTCAGAGCTTAGAAGACCAAAATGCTACTAGAAAAGCTGCTGGTAAAGAACCAGGCTCAGGAAGTTCCTACTGGGAAGAAAGACTGCATTTTTTTTTTTTTTAAGATTCTAGACAGTGTATGTTAAACCATAGCAGAAATTTTGTTTGCATTTTGCTCATATCCAGAGATTTTGCCTGAAACTAAGATTAAGGGTGGAGGATTAATTAATCTTGCAGAAGAAATTTCATGGCAGTCTAATGTTGGAGCAGTGGCATGGATACTGCAAAGGTGGAATACAGGAAAAATTGGTCACTGAAAATTCTAGCAAGAAAAAGCCAAGTATTTCAGAAGAAAACAGAAAAGATGACCTGAGGACATCACAAGAACCAACAGGAGTAGGGGGTGCCATCTCTGACTTCCTGTTCGGGAATGGGATCTGGCCCTAACAGATGTGCTGCTGGGCATGGCCTAGCTCTTCCCAGCTCCTCCTGTTACTCTCTCTGCTCCCATCCCCTCTGAGTTGAGCAGCTTTCCTTCACTCAGGTCCTTCCACCATGCCAGGCAACTATGGTCTAAAAACATGAGCCAGAAGAATCCTCATCTCCTTTAAGTTGTGGGTGGCAAGTGTTGTGCATGAGTGATGACAAAGTGACTAAGACAGTAAGCATAGAGAAAACCCACATACATACACCCAGGTAAATGGAAGGTCTGGCGTTATAAAGATTCTACTTCTTATTTGTATTTTTTTTTAAAACCTACTAGGTAAATACTTGGTCATTAAAAATTATTCTTAATGATCTGGCCTATCCACCTGTAAACTGACTAGATTCTCTTTCAATTCATGGAAAGCAAAGAATGAGAACAATCTGATTGCCAAAGCACTTGTCTTGCAGCCACTAGTGGTCGCCTTCCCACCCTCCCCCAGTGCTGAGCACATCCCCAGTGCCATGGCCTTGAGCTGTGGTTGTGAAAACTGCCTGCTGGGAGGGGGCACCACACCTCACAGCCCATTGTGCTGGAGAACGCCAAGGTGAGGGACAGAGATGTGCCCAGAGGAGAGGTCAGAAGCCAGGCAGGGGGAGGGAACTGCCTGCCCTTTCACGGGCCCAGATCCACAGTTCTTCATTTCAATCACTGTACACAGGAATTCCTGTCTCCATTAAAATGGCTATAAACCGGGTGTGGTGGAACAAGCCTGTACCCTAGCATTCTGGAGGCTGAGGAGGAGGATCTGAAGTTTAAAGCCAGTATGGGCTACATAATGAGTTGAAGGTCAGCCCCCCCCCCCCACAGACCTTTTTCTTCACAGAAGATTCTGGAAAATTTCTGGAGAGCAGGACTTCTCCTGTGGTAGTGGGTTAACTGTGAACAGGATGCCCTCAGGTAAGTCACTTCCCTCACTAGCAGTTAGGCCAGCCCGTGAGGACTGGGCCCAAGAAGGCCTCAGAAGGTGGCCTCCCATGATGGCCTCTAGCCGGACAGGGGTAGCTCAGAACCGGGTGAGACAGGAGGAGACTGTTTCATGGTCACGAGGAGAGCTTGAAGCAAGGCTTGACACAGTCCTGATAAAAACTTGTTTCACTGTGGTGCCATGAAGCTCTTTGTCCTGCTACTTGTGCTCTTCCTGGGACAGCGTGACACCTCAGCCAGGTGTGAGACACAAAGCTCGCAAGAGTGAGTCACGCAGGACCTGCGTGCCCTGCAGCCAGGCGGCATGTAGCTCTGCACAGGTATTATCCGGTGCTTGATTTGGGATACCAGATTTGGGCTACTTGACTCTCATTCTGGAGTTAATGCCAGGTTCTTCTTGTCCCGAACAAAGAACTGGACAAAAAGAGCAAAAAGCAGCGGCAAAGCTTATTAGAGAAAGTCAAAGTGAAGAGTGGGAGAGAAACCGGCTCTGCAGAGTGAGCTGGGGCGGAGTAAAGAGACAAAGCGGGAGAGAGCAGAGATAAAAGCACCCGCAGCACCCAAGATACACAGCAAGGGATACTGGGGAAAGCTATGTCGGTGCACCCTTTTATGCTGCCGAAATCTCAGGAAAACCCGCGAGAACATCTACATCCGGGTCCTGAGACGCGGTGCAGGATCCCACCCCTCAGTCCGTCCTCGGGTCTAGGCTTCCTATGGACAACTTGCCGGAGTTCCCTCAGAAGCCCAGGAGCGGGGCTTTGGGAACCGCTCCGCGAGGGTCTGGGATGGTGACAGGCCACGCCCACTCCCTCTCGCCACACCCTAAACTCCCCTCTCCCAGGGCTTCTTCCTGGACCAACTCTTGACGGGCTCCTCTGAGGCCTGCTGGCCTCGACATGGCCTACAAACTCTCAGCAGCGGCAGGGGTGCCCCCTCCAGGCCAGCACCGCAGGGGAGAAAAGGACTTTAACGTACAGCAACATGGCTTCATAGCACATTGTCAAAAGAACCCGATTCTGGACACAAAACGAAGCCCGTATAGGGAGCAGACATCAGAGAGCAGAGCTGGAGCTCCTGCCGAGGTGAGCAATACGATCTTTTCCTACTTTGAAGGGCTGAGGAGACCTGAACCACCTGATAAATGGTGATTAAGATGGAGTATGGAAACTTTGTTTTCTGGTCTAGTGCGGAAGTCCACGGTTGGAGATGAAAGCCAACTTGGAGTGTCAGAGTCGGGGTAAGAGGTCATCTTGATAAATGTCAGCAGAAGAGAGTGACCTTGATTTAAATTGTCAGTACATTGCTCCTCAGAAAACAAAGGGGATGGTCCAGGGTCACCCTTTCTTCTTTGATCCTGCCATAAATCCCAGAGATGAAAACACAATCACAACAAAGTGGCTGTCAATTTAAATAATGTCTACTGTGAGAAACCTGATCTTATCAAAGAGAAGGAGGCAGGGATGGAGGGAAAAATAAACATTAAGCACAGTGATTCTGAGACTTGAGGTTTCTGCCTTATGGTACAAAAGCAGAAATGTGGGATTGCAAAAAATTAGAACATGGAACTAGGTTTCCAACTCATATTTGCTGTCATTTCATTCTGTCTTCTGGGAAATTGAGTTTCTTGTTTCTCTTTAACATCCTATGGCATAGGCATGTTGGTGCGTGCCTGAAAACCTAGCAACTCAGGAGGCTGAGGCAGGAGGATTGCCAGAGTTTGGGGCAGTAAGTTTAAGGCTAGCCTGAACTACATGGTGAGATCCTGCATCAAGAAACCAAAGGGGTAAAAACAAAAAGACTCTGTGCCCCTGACTCCACACGTCTGTGCCTGGTAAAGCAGGCTTTTTCACACTAAAGGGCTTTCTCCACATAGTACAGATGGAAGGCTGTCAGCATGGTCATCCCCTGTGCTGTGCACAATGGACACCTGGTGTTGGCTGTAGCTTGGGGGCCCTGGGGCCCTGGCCAGCTTTCTCTGGCCATGGAACACTCCCTCTCTCAGCCTGAAGGGCAGGGCGGCAGCAGGAAGCTGGCCCTTCAAGAGAGCACGAGGAGCTTTGGTTCAGATATGGGAAGTTTTCCAAAAGAAATGACCCTTCTGGTTTCCATCCCTCTTCTCTAGTGCTTTGGCTGTTGATTTAGGCTGGAGTTTCCTCTTTCTGTTATAGTGCTCTTTACCTGCCCCACCCTGGACCTGTCTCCAAGCTGCTAACACACACTACTGTACTCCTTCCCTGAGTTACTGGTGTGATGCTCACTAGACACAATAATAATGCTCCCTTGGACTCAAATTTAAAAAGAATTATGCACCACAACCAAGTGGAATTTAGTTGAGGTTGCTTCAATATTTAAAAGCCAATTAGCGTGCTGGGCATGGTGGCACACACCTGTAATCTCAGCTCTCAGGAGGCTGAGGCAGGAGGATCACCATGTGTTCAAGGCCAGCCTGGGCTACATACTGAAACTCTGTTTTAAAAAAAAAAAGCCAATTAATATGTCACAACAGTCTAAAAAGAAAAGTCGCCATGATCACAGCAGTATGTGTAGAAATAGTTTACAAAATGCATTGCCTACTCATGGTAAAAACTCTCAGTATATTAGAAATAAATGGGAATTTGCTTGACTTTTACAGAACGCAAAATAATCTATCACTAACCTCTTATGTTGGGACTGGGCTACTTTACCTAACTCCGATTTCCCAGTCCCAAGGTCATTGCCATCTGGCCTGGGTAACGAAGAAGTTTGCGGAAGGCCTGCCCCCTGCCTATGGGCGGAATACTGATAACCTGGCTCCTGAGGCAAGACAGCATCCGCTGAGCAGTTGTCACTATGCAGGCATTTGGGTGTGGACAGAATCTGGTTCCTCATTAACTGAATCCTTACCCACCCAGTCTCTACAGTGGCTGTTCCGTGCTACCCCTCCCCTGAGCTTCTCGCTGGCTAAGAAAAGTGGCCCAAACTCAGAGTTTTATTCCAGTCTGACCCTAGAGGCAGGTCTGCTCCTGGTCCCCTCCCCCCTTCATACTTTGAAAATTGTCTCTGTCTCTTTCTTTTATTCCTTATCGAGCCCCCCAAAAGTAGCTGAGATGACATGAAGGTCTACATAGGAAATCCGGAAGGCACAAACAAAGCCCCTCCCTGGTGTAAGTGAGGAAAGCAAGGTTGCAAGATATAAGTTTAATGTACAAGTGGAATTTGAAATAACAATGCTCTTGTGATCATTTGGATTGAAATTCCTAGTGTTTCAGTTAAAATACAATTTTTCTTGATTTTCTAACTGAGAAGTTCTGTCTTTCTGTTTTCTTTACCTGTTTTCTAGTTCTTGGGCCAGTTCAAGCCCACAGGCACAGCACAGGACATAGTGAATGAACAGATGTCTGCACCTCCCCTTCCTGCCCCTTGGGGTGCAGCGTCTCAGCCCAAGAAACTCCACTCAGGGCTCATCCACTCACAGCTGCCCTGGGCAGTGCTACCAGGGAAAACAAGAATTCACTTCTTATTCCTGGAGGGTTTTTTGTTTGTTTGTTTTTGTGAAACTGTTTCACTGTGTAGTCCATTCTGGCCTCATACTTGCAATGTACCCCAGGCTGGCCTGAAACTCATGATCTTCCTGCCTCAGCCTCCCAAGCACTGGAAGTACACACATGTGCTACAGTGCCCAGTTTGACTATGATAGTATTTTTCTTGTTTGCAGTACTAGGAATTGAACCTAAGACCTGAAAATATATATATGTATGTAGTTCATGGGCAAAAATGAAAATAGCCCTTAAATGAGAAGAAATACAAGTTGAAACTAAGCTGAGGTAGCATTCCCCCTGTATCAGGTTGACAGAAGTACAAAACGCTGCTGATGAAGGAGGCAGACACCCCAAGATGCCCATGACAGGACTGTCACAGGGTGACTTGGCACCACCAAGTGGAGCCACAGTTATGTCTGCTTGTGATCCTGCCCTACAGTCACCCTGTGGGGAACCAGCTTCCAGACGCATTTGCAGAAGTCTGATCATGTGCAGGCCAAATGGTGTTTATTTATTGTCTTGAAGAGGAGAACCAGCCCACGAGGCAGCACTGTAGGACACCAGTGAACAATATGCTGGTGCGCCCGTGAAACTGCAGAGGACGAGGGTCCTGGGCAGCGGCTCTGTGGGGTTGTTATATCATTCTCTTGATTTTGTGATTACTCACAATTTTTGTGGCAGTGAAATGTGAAAGCCTGTGAGTGTTTCTTGCCAAGGATCGCCCCGGTGGCTACTTGCAGCTGAAGGGAAGCGCTCACGGTGTCTGCACTGCTGCCGCCATCCTGGCGCTGCACAGCCCGGCATTGCTCTCCTGCACCCCCCCAGCTCTGCTCAGGTGAAGGCACTGCCAGGTCCCACGGCCGAGACGCGGGCGCCCCTCATGCCCACCCACACTAGCTCCCAGAGGCAAGCGTCAACCGAGTCTACACAAAAACCTGCACGCGGAGGTCGCAGCAGCTTCACTCACAATTGCCGAGACCCGGGAGCAATGGAGAAGGGACCTGTGGCCAACGGGGCGCACCCACATGCACCGAGTCCGCGTGGTCTGGGTGTGGAAGACCCTCCTGAGGACTGCTGCATCGGCAGGAAGAGCTGGAGCGGGGGACTGGGGGCTGCTGCTTTTCATGGAGAAGCTTGCTGCGGGTGGTTTCCCTGATGCGAATTTGGTTGTTCTTGCTGGAGTAGGAGCTGGGGCCTCACCGTCGCTGAGAATGGCTGCTTTTCTTGTCAGGGAGCTCTGGTCTTTGCCTTCAGCCACTTCCTGGCTCCAGTGCGGATCCCTCAGCCTGGTGGCACAGATCCTTCAATCCCCTGGTGCAGGCTTTCTGGCTTCCACCACTGGCCTTGGGCCTCCCCAGTGCAGATTTTCCACAGGGACTTGCAGGACACACTGCTGTGGGCTCCAGGCCTTCAGCTGGACGTGTGGAGGACACGGCTGAGGGATCCAGGCCCTCACTGGACTCTTCGGGTCTCTAGCATGTGGACAGATATCTTGCACTCCTCTGCATTTGACTTCTAGGTGAATTATAAAATAATCCACTAAATGATGTGTCCTTGGCAAACCCTGACTGCCACTGGTCCCAAGCCGTATGGAAATGGACCCAGGGTCAGGAACGCAGATAACTGGGAGGGTGCGCGAGCCGGCAAGGGAGAGGGGAGCCGGAACTCGGTGCCCCTGTGGGGATTTTGCTGTAGACAGAAAACTGCCCCCCAAGTGCACTCATTCTAAAGTGCGGGGTTGTGTTCACAAATAGAAAGTTCCGGAAGGATTGTTAGGTGCTAAGTAGATGAAAGGAGTAAGTAAAAATGCCAGCCATGAGTTTGCTGCCCCAGATTTCATATTTACTAACATACCAGTGTGTGAGCTCAGGACGAGGGACCTGCTGTGCTGTCCCTACTGCTCTCAGCGCCTGAGCTCCGGGGCCTGCCTCAGCCTCCCCGTGGGAGCACAGCACGTTTCATCCTCAGATCTCTGGTTCCTACAAAGACCACCTTGACCCTTAGTTTGGTCCACCGCGGGGTCCACCAAAACCAACATAAAGAAACATTTCCACCAGGCATAGTGGCACCCTCCTGTAACCCAGCTGCTCAGTAGGCAGGGGCAGGCAGATCACAAGCTGGAGCCCAGCCAGGGCAACTTAGGCTCAAAGCTTAAACGACTCATGAAATGGAAAGGGCTGATCTAGCTCAGTGTGAAAGTCCTGGATTCAGTCCCCAATAATGCACACACACACACACACACACACACACACACACACACACACACTTAAATAAATAAACCAAGGACTGGTGATGTAGCACAATGCAAAGATCTTGGGCTCATTCACCAGTAGAGCAAAAAAAAAAATTTTTTTTTTTTTTTTATTAAAGAAAA